GATGTGGTGCCCCTGTTCTGAAAGGGTGTGATGTGGTGCCCCTGTTCTGAAAGGGTGTGATGTGGTGCCCCTGTTCTGAAAGGGTGTGATGTGGTGCCCCTGTTCTGAAAGGGTGTGATGTGGCCCTGTTCTGCTCTGTCATATACTGAAATGTCAGAACCTCATGGTTCTTCACAATGGGATTGTCCAGTACAGAATATTTTTCTGTTTTGCATATCTGCCAACAAGTACTGAAGAAACGGGTTATGGGTTATGTTGTCTGTGTGTCTCTGCATTTATTTTTGTGTGCCTTCCTAAATAGATGCAAATGTGTATTTGTGTGCATGGTTTTGTGTTTAGACCCTTGGGTGTAATTGTGTGAAATTGTGGGCATTTCTGTTTGTTTGGATGCGTGGTGTGGAGGATTGTGGAAGACCTTAACCCCAACCCATCCCTACCCGTAAGCATAAGTAACCAAACAAAATACAAGACTTTTGGCATTTTTACTTTTTTGGTTGCATTCACAGACCTGAAAAATGGTCTCCACAATGTCAGAATAACAGGTTTTTATTATATTGTGGGGAACATTTAGTCCCCACAATGTAATATAAACATATTCCCCCCACACACACACACACACGCTCAGCCCATCAGACCCATGGCCTGACATTTACAGGTAAGCTGGTCGAAGCCGCCTCTCTCGGCCTCTGCAGTCCTGACTGACCCAGAACTCCAGGTTATCTTCTCCATGCAGTGAGGTTGCTTCCTGCTCGAGAGGTCTTGTTTAACTGTCCGCGTACATGTTTGTTTGGTTTTACACAGCTTCTCTGAGGAACTCCCCAGGGTGCAGATCCCTGTGGGGGGTGGATATCTTGTTTTAAGTTTCCATGGTGATGCTCAGCCTCTAGTTCCTGAACAGGAACTTTGGCAGTTTTTTCCAGACCATTTTCTGTGTCAGTCTCGGGCCTTCCTCTTGTCTACACCCAGTTGACTATGAAAAAGTGCTGAAGGTTCGATAACAAAGTAAAGCGGCTTTGAAGGGAATCGCCTTTCATGAAGCCAGAAATGAAATAACAGTAAGAGAGCTGGCAGTATTAAGACACAGCTCTGTTATGGTGGATGCCCAGGCCTCCTGTCACGCCAGGGACACAGGCGGGCAGCTGGACTGCCACACTGCTGTTTCGTAAGCTGTGAGGCCCCGGCGCTTGCAGAAACGCTCGCCTTGGGGAATACTTATGGACCATTGGTACTGTATGCTGTTAAAAGCCCCCGCCGGACTTTGATGGATGATATCTGTAGACGACGGGGTGAAGAGGGCTGTGCGCGGGGACACTGGGGGGTTTTCAGGATGATTAAAGAGTGAGCGATAAAAGGAGGCCACTTCTAACCATCCTTTGTGATGTCTGGTGATCAAGAGACTGATAAAACATTATTTGTCTACATTACTTGTCTGTGGGGTCTAAGAGACTCAGTCGTCGACAGGTATCCGTATATTTTAATATATTAAATATAATATTGAAATTACAAAATAGTGTCTACATGTTTGTTAAGGAGAGTGTGAAAAAGCTTGCTACGTTCAGAGCATCCCGCACATCTCCAGTGGAGGGCTTATGTTCATGTTGTTCTTCATGGGGCCTGTCTCTCAGATGCCTCTCCAGCTCCAGCTGGAATGAACCAGGCTTTTGGAGAGCACCATCAGAAGGCCACAATTCTCTCGGTTAGCATGTGGAAGTGCCATATTTCCATATGGTATTTACACCATCTTTCACCAAGAAATCAGCCAATGACTACGCTAGGACACGTATTCCCTGGTTTAAATTTATGTGCTGGGACGTGGATAAATGATCGTGAAGACAGCAGATGACCGATTCACAACCTCTGTAGTCCTGCTGGCCAAATAGGGAGGGAGTTGGGATGTGAGACCTGCCCCACGACAGGAAGTTCCGCAGAGTCTGTCAGTACTGCTAATAATGTGCTTAATCACTGCAGCAAACTTCACAGGGATTAAACAAAGAGTCTGAACTGCACTGGGCTTTTTGGCTCCCAGTGATGACTTCCGCCATAATGTAAAGCACTTGGATTGTTGGTTCTAGATCATTCGTCTTGCACCCACAGGTCCTTCACATCACTGAAGTCTTTGTTTTTCTCCGGCTTCAGTGATTTTACTTTATTGTGCTGTTTCCTCATCACCTGCGGCTCAAACAATTTACAAGCAAAGACTGCCTCCTTTTCAAGTTCCAAATGGATCAATATAATTCATTTCAAAACTGGAGTGAGAAAATTGCATGAATATTAAAGAGAAACCCATGTTGCCCTCTGGGACACGATTACTGAGCTTGTGGCACTCCTGATAACAATATGCACTCCAACGTAATGGCTGACGGCAGGTAGCAGGGTGAGCAGGTAGAGTGGAGTCAGGGGCATGGGTGAGAGTACTGCAGGTCTCAGAGTCACCTTGTGAAGATCTTAACGTGCACCTGGTGATGTGTGCATCCGTTATGCTTCTATCACCACTAGAATGATGTATGATATGAGATTAGTATTTCCTGGCCTTGTGCATGATGGGAGATTAGAGTGTCCCGGCCTGGTGCATCATGGGAGATAAGAATGTCCCCGACAGGTGCATCATGGGAGATAAGAATGTCCCCGCCTGGTGTATCATGGAAGATAAGAATGTCCCCGACAGGTGCATCATGGGAGATAAGAATGTCCCCGCCTGGTGTATCATGGGAGATAAGAATGTCCCCGCCTGATGCATCATGGGAGATAAGAATGTCCCCGCCTGGTGTATCATGGGAGATAAGAATGTCCCGGCCTGGTGCATCATAGGAGATAAGAAAGTCCTCACCTGGTGCATCATGGGAGATAAGAATGTCCCGGCCTGGTGCATCATAGGAGATAAGAAAGTCCTCACCTGGTGCATCATGGGAGATAAGAATGTCCCCGCCTGGTGCATCATGGGAGATAAGAATGTCCCGGCTTGATGCATCATGGGAGATTAGAATGTCCCAGCCTGGTGTCATCTGACATCAGACATGTAGGCCAGTCCTATCCATTCTCTGTTCTTGCTCTCAGGCTTTTTCCCCAGTCAGAGATGAAGTTGCCCCCCCACACCCCATCCACCATGTCATGGATGTTCTCGTCCGTCCGTTCTCTCGATTGGATATAAAGACCCACCTCCAGGGCTTAATTGGGGGTTTTAATACTGGAGGAGGCTGTGTGACATTAACACAACAATGGCTTCCCCGGTTGGGCCGTGAAATGTCGTTATTACCATATAATGAAATAAGAGGTGGGGCTAGCAGGAGTGCAGCTAAAGGGGGCCGAGGTGAGGTAGCGGGAGCGCGGCTAAAGAGGGAAAGGTGAGCGAGTGGGAGCGCGGCTAAAGAGGGCGAAGTGATGGGAACGCGGCTAAAGAGGGCAAGGTGACGGGAACGCGGCTAAAGAGGGCGAGGTGACGGGAACGCGGCTAAAGAGGGCGAGGTGACGGGAACGCGGCTAAAGAGGGCGAGGTGACGGGAACGCGGCTAAAGAGGGCGAG